CTGTCAATTCTGTCAATGATATTGCCTAATAATTGGGTCAATGATATTGCTTTATATTTCCAAAATATGGCAATACGTACAATTTTAAAATTGTATATAAAATAATTTTATATAAAATATTATGATAAAAATACAACTTGATAATAGATGATATTTTTCAAATGGATTATTGGCTTATTTTATTTCAAACTATTATCAAATTAACAAATCATATCTTATTCTTTCACATTTATAAAAAAAGACTCAAACTTCATCTTTTTCAACAATCATGCCTTTTTTTTTTCAAAATCACACCATTTTATCAATGCAATAAGATATAAACAATACAAATTTCTTACTTAAAACTAGAAAGAAGTGAAAAATATGAAATATAATTTTTTTTCTTAAGTGTTACTAATCTATCTATTAAAATCATAATTATGAGAAAAGTTGAAGTTTGGGTCTTTTTTAATAAAAGTGAAAGTATGCGATAAATTTATGAAATTTATGATAGTGGGAGATATTTTTAACTAATAATCCTCTTTAAAATGATATTTTTAATACATAGTGAGAATAGTAATAATTGTAATGAGCGTGACTATTTTAATTTTTTCACTCTCGAGTCATAATTAATCTTTTCTAAATGTTTTAGGAATATCCATATATCGATCACTTAAATAAATATTAAATATGTTGATTAACATATGTATCTCTGTGATATCTACTTGTGAGACAACTATAAAAAATTAAGTTTTTGTGGTCAATTTTATTTCGTTTGTAACACATCCTTTAAGTAAACATAAATAGATTTTCCAATTTAAAAAATCCATACGAACTAACAATAAAACCATTTTCCCTGAATGCAAAAATATCCAAACGAACTTTTAAATTTCTTGCAAGAAGAATTTTTAATTATATTGATTCACTTTTCAATTAATTAATTAACATAACACATTGTTTTTTGTCTTTAAAACTTTTCACACATGGAAACACTTGTGAGATATAGAGAATAAATTTTATAGATTGATCTCATTTATATAAAAAAATCTGTGGTGTCATTTTAAACAAATTCAATCTATATATGCACATATATACATTAAATGTATAATTTTAGTGGTGTCAATTTCAACAATTTCAATTAATATATGTATATATATATATTAATTCTAATTCTCAGTGGTGTCATTTGACACCACAAGCCAAGGAGTGGCTCCGTCCCTGCAAGTGTTACCAAAAAGAAAATAATAATGAAATAAAAAATTTTCACAAAGTTCCGGAGGTGGTTCCGGAGGAAGACGAACACTTACAATATGAGTGAATACCAACTCCACCACTGTTGGAATTGCCTACCAAGGCTTCACGATCCAGCCTCGATACAACCTCCCAGCCACACCTCGTTCATCCGCCACCGCTATTTCCTCCGACGTAGTTGCAATCTCAAGCGTTATAACACTTACAATCAGTATAATCGGCCGGAGCATGGTAGTCATCGAGGATGTTCCAGTTAGATATTTTTGACAGTCTGTGACAAGAATCAACATAATTTCTCCGAGGCCCTACCCAAGCACAACCAGATTCCGATTTACTCAGATGTCTCTGGCAAGTGACATACGACTTCGATCCATCAGAAGACTCTTTCTTATCAGACGATTTCCTAGGGCACACTACGGAAAGTGACATACGACTTCCAGTCTCCACTCAAGAAGACATATGGCCTGTGACTCCCAGTTCAACAGAGAGATTTGTTACCAATCACAGTTCATCACTCCGGAAAATTGTCTGCCAACAAAACACATGAACATTCAACTCAAAATCTACAAAAAAATCTAAGAAGAACAAATGCGTCATAGCATGAGGACAAGATCGCTTCTATAAAATTTCCATGGGGATAGGCTTTTCATTGTTTCTCTATTTTACTTTTAAATTTCTTGTCTATTTATTTTCTGCTTTACTTCAATTCTCTCTTTTATTTATTCAACAAAAACGCTTTTTCAGTCAATTTTTAAAATAATTACTACCTCCCTCCCATTTATATTGAGACGGAAAAGGGTGGCATGATTATTAAGAAAAGTGAGTTTCTGTGGTTGACATTAATTGATAAAGTAAGAATAAAGTAAGAATGATTTAGAGCCACATAAACTTTGCCAAATATGATATGAGACAATTTAAGTGGGACTTCCCAAAAAGGTAAAATGGGACAATATAAATGGGACGGAAGGAGTAGTAATCAATACTTGTTTCCTTGTAGCAATGTGGCCTGGTTTCCGCTCTTTCAATTTTCCTGTTATATGTTTTTCATGATTTAAGTGATGTGTTTACTGTAATCATGTTTAATGTAAAAGTGATGTAATGTGATAAACAATATGATGATGACACATGTCTGTATTGCAAGACATTTTATAAGAGTACACGTGCTCTAGGTACACACGATCTTAGCACAGCTTTTCTAAAATAAAAATTCTATTTAATTACAAAATTCATCTATAAACAAAAAATTTGTATTCCACTATTCCGTGTAGTTTTTGTACACTCATCTATGTACCATCTGTGTACACAGTTAACTTGCCCAAAAATTGTCTATATATACGTTATACGATAGTATGTAAATGTATAATTTGTGACAAGTTGACTATGTACAGAATGACCTTAAAAAAGTGATTGGTGCGCGACAGCACACAATATGAAGTAGACAAATAATGAGGGGCTTCTTCATAAATAATTGGAAAGGAAGCTGCTGAAGGAAGGAAAGTGGAGACAAAAAACGATGTGCTAACTACTGTAATCAACACTGGTCGGCTGACCTTAAGGACAGCAACAGAAAACTAAAAAGCAATTTAAAACACTACAACCGTTTTTTTTGAAACCTTATCGGCAAGAAAAATTCCACCCCTCCGTCATTCCATCTTCGACGCTCCACAATCATCACTCCCCCACGGAATCGAATGCCCATCATACCAAATCATTGGTGGGTCCTCATTTAATTAAAAAAAAATCTAGCATCTATCAGGCTGACTTGTTAATTAGCCTTGTTAAAAAAACAGTTATCCAAATTAAGCCCAAGATTGCTCCTTTATTTTGTGTTCTTTAGAATTATCCCATAATATACAGTATGATTGATTTCTAGTTTGGAATAGGCTGGGTAAAGGCCCACTTTGCCTAAGACATGATCTAGGTGGCTGGGCAAGGCCCACTTTGCCTAAGAGATGATCTAGGATGGGCTATATTGAGCGGTGTAAATTTTTTCGTTTTTCATATGTAGCTCACCTTGATAATGGTTAAAGTAAGTATAATTATTTTTTAGTCCAGCGCAACACCAATTCTTGGATCCATCCTTGACTGTTTGCCTCAACAAAAAGGGGATTGCGGGGAATCAGAGACAAAGCCAAAAGATAGTACGAGAGCTAGTATCAATGTAAAACTAGAAATATAGTAATCTATAAAGATAATGATAAATATATGGTTGAAATATAGATAATGAATAAAAATGATGTTTTTAATTACTATATCTAAGATTGTTTCTGAAAACAATTTTCTAGCTATAAAAATGATAGCACAAAAAACAACATTTTCACAAAAAAAACAACAACATTTTCATCAACATCCCAAATAGCATGGGTAGCTTAATCGCGTACATAATCGTTTTTATAGATTGTTTTACCGATTAATAGATAATGATGTTAGAGGAGATGAAGAATATAGAGAGCATATGAATGACATAAAGGAGGGAAGAACTAGGGATGGCAATGGGGCGTTTCGGGGACGGTTTTACATATAACCGTACCCGCCCCATTTGATAATTCTCCGCCCCATAACCGCCCCATTACCCAAACCGTATCCGCCCCAACGGGTAACGGGTATAACCGCGGGTAACCGTGGGTAATCGCTTTATTAAATGAGTCATTGATATATATTTTAATATAAAAATAATATTTTAAAAGGCGAAAAAATGGCATCACCTAGATAACTCTAGAATGAGACGCCCCTGTAAAGTTTCGTATATCTACAAGACGAGAAAGAAGACAACATAAATTAATTTAGTCCAATTTACATCCTCCCATCGTGCCGTCCGGTCGGTGTTGGGGGGCCCTCAGGAATGGGGTGTCATCCTTTTTTTTCATAAACATAAATATTAGTCCGTTGTACATTGATGACTCCGTGGGACTGAGCTCAGCCTGCTTGTGATGTTTGAAGCGCGCCTAGGAAGTGATCGATCAAACCTTAATAATATATATACTTCATACAAAAAGTATGAAAGAAAAATGTATGAAAGAGAATATGAAAAATAGAAAAAGTAAAAGTAATTATATATTTGTAGTAAAGATAAATTTTACCAAGGAGAGAGTAGGGGTGGTTCGGTACGGTATACCGAATATTTTATCTCATACCTTTACCATACCGTAAACTTTCGGTATGCAAAAATATATACCGTTACCATACCTAAATTTCGGTACACCTTGTTTCGGTATGCCAAAATTTCGGTACGGTAAGCTACGGTATCGGTAAATTATCATGATTTAATATCAAATTATTATATATCAAATGAAATATAGAAAAACAGTGTTAGTAGTGATATACTAAAATTATTAATGAAATTAATTATAAAATACTACTGATAACCTATTTGTGTTCTATTCAACTTTGAACCAAAAAATATTATAAATATGCACGAATACTTCAACACATGATATATGAAGATAACAACACATTCTGCTAAAATAATAATTTAAACAACATAAATATATTTGAAATAACATCGATCTCCAACAAAAAGTATAAATAATTCAAGAAACATGGATATAAAGTCATTATCCTTTAATTAATGTTGTGTTTCTAGTTATTTTTATAATTTTAAAGAAATTATTGGCTTGGAATTACGGTATGACGGTATAAACGGTATACCGTTTATTTCCAAAATATATACCGATACCATACCGAAATAATTCGGTATGGTATCATACCGTACCAAAAGTGTCAGTATACCAAACATTTCGGTAAATTCGGTATTTTTCGATATGGTAAGTCCGGTATACCGAAATTTCGGTATTTTTCCCCATCCCTAGGAGAGAGCGTACTTGTGATAATAGCATGGGGCAATTATATATAGACACGTCACACGTAGGTGGCAGGTGATTTGGGGTGCGACAACACAGTGCACGTCGGCACACACAAATCATACACGATCCTTTCAACTTTCTAGTTAAGTAAAGATCCTGATTCCCATTTCCTCCTCGCTTGTTGCCGATGAATCAGATTCTGCTGGCACCATTATTATCCCTTTGAATTGAATCTCCCTTTATATAATAGTGCATCCACTCTATCGACTTTACCTTTCCGATATCCCTTTTTCCCACTTCAAACTTCTGCATCCAATATAATGAAGCTAGTGCTTCTAACACATCTCTCCCAACTTCTTTTAGTAAAGTTGGGTGCGGTCATGACTTTTTAGTACACTCTTTTTTGCTGAAAGAAAGAAAAAAGTACGTAGTTTACCACTACAAAAAAAAACAAAATAATTGTAAGAAAAACAAAAACTGAATGCCATAATAAGTGATAAAAGCTGAAAAGATCTCTAGCTAAAGCCGCTTGCTATTATAATTTTACAAATATTGCAGAAAAGTTATAAAGAAGGTAAATTTGAGAGTTTTCTCAAATGACCATCTGCTTGTCCCAAAGCTAGCTGAGTGTTGTTTTGATCAGTGTTTTAATTTGTCTCGTCTCAAGTGACAGAACGAGAATTAACTTCTTGAATTAGAGTTTGAGAAAGGATGGAAAAGGGAGGTAGTACCATTGTTTTGGCTGTACTTTCTTCTTTGTCATAGTATCTTCTGTTAAATGTCAACATCCTTGGTGGGGATAAGTTTCGAACCTGTGATCTTCTCTTTTGGAGTATCACAGTGATGCCATTGAACCACAAAATGCTTGGCAAGGTAGTAGATGGATGACTGGATGAGTAGGACGTGCCAGCGCTCATAACAGTAAAATTCGGCAGCTGGTTAGTGGGAGGTAAAGGAATCATACTGTTTTCAGTTTCCACGTGGATCCACGTCTTCATTGCTACGCTTTTGATTCTTCTCCGTATTCCACAATCTTATTTGATGATTGAGCTCTCCGTATTCCACAATCTTATTTGATGATTGAGCTGACACTGCAAGAATGATACAATAACCATAACGAAAGTGATCAAAATATGTTGAAAACGAAAGAAAGAGCGAAAGAAAGAATTGTATTCTTCAGATGGCTAATAACCACTTATCTTAGATGCATGTATACAACGGGTAGTGGATAAGGCGGCGCAAATGCGTCCTTTCTCTAGTCCCTCATTAGTAACTCATTCTTTTGTACTCCCCTCCCGACAAAGCGGGTTATAAATCATGGTGATTCAGCTAAGCACATTTACGAGATTCTTTTGTCCTCACTCCTCGTCCCGACAAAGCATATATATGCGGGTTATCAATCTCGAGTCACTTGTTCCAAAGTTCACCCCTTGTGAGTTGTGACCAATGAGCTGCCCATGCGTCTAAATATTCTTCTGTCTATTAGCTAATACTCCCTCCGTCCCAATTTATAAGATACATTACGGTTTACGATGTTTGACTGACGATAAAGTAAATTGATCCCTGTCAACACGCAAATTAGTTCTAGGAAATAAAATTTATGTATTCAAAAACTACATTAAAACCGCTACAAAACCTGCAAAAAATAATTCAAACTTTATAAACTTTTTATATATAAAATAAAAGATTATGAGCGATATATTTATGTTGATCAAGTGAATAGTAAATATATCTTACATTTTGGGATTGTGGGAGTATTATTCAAAGGGGCTTGTTGCACACAACACACTGTACATACACCGATACACGCCGTGTACATGGTCCAAGTTGTTTGTGTCAAAGACAATTAATACTTGTCACTTTTAAAATGAATTGTCTACGTCATCAATTTATCTGTTTCAGTCATAATCTCAAAAGATTCAACTCGTTTTGTTATTTTCAGCATTACCCTCAAATCTATTCCTTTTACCTGTATCTTGTCTCTTCATAAAAGATAGATACTCATTAGATCAAATTAAATTGTACAAGTATCATGTATTTTAAGTTGGTGACAACTCCGGTACCCATTATTCTGATTGATCCATGTGGACAAAGGTATGGTACCTTAAAAGTACCATAGAATCTATCTTTTAAGTTTTGTGAAAATCATATTTTAGCGGTCCGAGTTAATGAGAATTGAATAACAAATACGGCCCACGTAGTATAGTAATTACTCCAAATAGGAGTAAAACTAGGCTGAAATTCAAAAATAGGAGTTCCTGTGTTTTTATTCCAAAATAGGACCACATTGCTCCTATTGTGAAACATAGAGAAATTAATGTTACATTTTTGCCCCTCAACCTATTTCTCGATATCTCCCACTTCTCTCCGCATCACACGATCTATTTCAACAAACCCCATCAGATGGCCTCTTCCCCTCCGCATCTCATCCATGGAGTTCCACTCCCCTGCACATCAGATCGGCCATCTTCTTCCTTGCGCATCGAATCGATTGATTCCACCGACGCTGCACACCATCGTTGACTCCCCAACCCCAGCCATCGTCGTTATCGTTGACTCTACTACACACTATCTCCGGTCAGATTCCTCCTCCTCCTCCTCCTCCTCCTCCTCCTCCTAAGTTTTGGCATTGATTTTTCAGATTTTCCTCCTATTCTTCTGTTTTTATGAGTTTTGGCATTCATTTGGCTGGTTTTTGGACCTCTGTTTCGTATTTCCGATTCACATTTGTTACTTTTCGAAAAGTCCTGATTTTTTGGAATTTTGGATGTTGGCATAAGATTCTGCCAAATTTATGGCAGAAATATGCAAACTAACATACGATTATGACAGCATAGATTTGTGTAAATTGGTTTTTAATTTTTTTTGTCAATAATTTCATATTTGTGATTTTCGATTTTATTAAAGTGTTTCTTCCTTTGAATGAATTATTTTTCGAATATTTGGCTGTTGAGTTCATATGTTTGCCAATTTTATGACATTTTTGTGTTATTCTTCCAAGACGACGGCGATAGTGAAGGACGATAACGTTGGTTGGGGCGACGCTGATGTGGGCGGTGGCAGCGGCCGCACTGGTGGTGGCATTGGTGAGGGTGACGCTGTCAAGGACGGTGGCAGGCGGCGGCGGTGAATGGCGGCGAGGGCGGCAGCTGGCGGCGCCGATGGTGCTGGCGACGGGCAGCATCGGCTCTGGATCTAGCGGCAGTAGTGCTGCTGCTTGAAGTTGAAACCGTAGGGTTTCAACATGTTTTTTATTTGGAATTTTCAAAATTCAAAAAATTAAAACGTGGGTATTTTTGTCCAACTGTGATGTATTTGGTCCTATGAAACATAGTTTCATTTTTTGCTCCTATACGTGCACTCACGTGTACTTTTAGTCCTACAAAGGTAATTAACTCTTCATTAAAGTTTCTCACTAGTACTAAGTTGACAAGTGCCACATTTGGCAATGACAAAAGTCACAAAACATAGATACGTGATTATGATTTAGCAATCAATTGCCGATGGAAGTAATTACGAAGTAAAGTAAATTTATGAATTATTTTTTTTGAAGGTTAAATTTTTGGATTATTATTAGTATAAAGAAAGGGAGATGATTCAAATTAGATACGTGAAGTGAAACGATTAAGTTTAATAGATAAATCTTTGAACGTAACGATTAGAGCGTTACGTTCTTATATTTTCTATTATAAGAAAACACTTGCACACCTACACTCACAAACTCTCTATAACATACACGTGCATGACATTTTAGTCCAATTGATTGCCTTTACTAAAAGTTAATCATACTCATTTTCTCTATATAAAAGTCCAAACTAAATCTTTTTGAAATAGGATAAGCAATAATTGACATTATTCTACCCCTATACACCTAAATCCCTAATCTGATTTATTAATAGTCTATTCACATCAAAATAATTGTCTCATTTGCTTTTTCATGCAGTTTAAGATAATTATTGTAAACCATCAAAAAGTAAGAGGTTTTAGTGCTGTAGTACTATCGCAACTATTTTTAAGGTGAATTTCTTTTCCAAAAAAAGAAACATTACAATTAATTTGATACATCCTTACAAGAAAATTGGGACAATTATTTTGATACGAATGGAGTATAATTAATTGTCGTCTAGTTCCTTTGAATAATTGAGTCAGTCCGTTGGTGGTGGGTCAGTTCGATGGTGATGGAGACTACGACATCATATTGATGACGGATGCATTCATGAATTTTTCGGAGAATTGGATGGCCTTAGACAATTGGATGGCCTTAGACAATTCGGGCGGCAGCGACTCCAGTGGCTGGATGCTAGTTTAGATTTCCCATTGTTTATGTTTGTAATTTTAACAAGTACGTTTCCATTGTTTATTATAATGAAAATTCCACACTTTTGGTGTACTACTTTAGTTTTCTAGATTTTTGTAATTTGTTTAGATTAGAACTTTTCTGAGATTAAAACTGGTCAAAGTCATTGAAAGGATAAAAAATGGATCCTGAAAAACCAAAGAAGATGCAAAGGAACAAGACAAAATGGACATTAAAAAATATTTCATGTACCTGATCACGTATATGCAATGCCCGTTCGGGTACGTATCAACTTGATTCGGGCATCAAACTCAAATTCGGAGAATAAGAGATCATGCATGAATATTTTGTCAAGATTTGCTGGTGCCCAATCGGATAGACCGACATACCCGGACAGGTATAATGTGATTTTTAACCTTCCGGGAAAGTGCCTCTGGTACCCGATCGGGTACCAAGCCCTGTCACCTCCAAACACCTATAAATACGCTTTTTTCCCTTCCCAATAAGATCATCAATTCACATATACTTTAATCTCAGTCTAGAATATTGTTTCCTTTATATTTCTTTTATGTTTAGTTTCCAAATGAGGAACTAAACTCCTTTATTCTTGATTTCTCTCTTGAAGCTTGTTGAATATTAAAGATGTGATTAATTATCTTAACTTCTTCTCTTGAATATTAATTCTTCCCTTAAGCTATGTTTATATTAATGTTGAGGTGTTTCTAAGTGACGATTGGTTAATACTTTAATATTAATTACTACTAGAAATGATCAATGAACTGATGGTTAATCATTGATGGTTTCACAAATAAGTAAAGATTATTAATGCATGGTCTCATGGTAAGTAATCTTAATAGGGAATAATTGTGTTAGTTAAAACAAAACTGTTGTGTTGAAGTTATCAATCTCAATTGATTTCATCAGAGAGTTAAATGTTACTATCAAATCGGTATATACGGTGTTCTATATTTGGCTAATAGTAAGTGATGTTAATGAACGATCTCGTTATTAATAACTACCATCAATGAGTTTGATATACTCCTATATTGAGTATTCGAGAGAGGATACGTTAAAGATATAACCAGGATCGACAAACATCTCAACAAGTGGAAAGTAGAAAAGTCAAGTGATCTTCTATCTCATTAATTAAAACTCATAGAAGTTGTTCATCTTAGTGTTCAATTGTACTAAATCAAATAATCTAAAAAAACCCTTTGGTCACAAGTTCATAGAAGAGAAATATTTTTTTTCCTGTGGGTATGAACAACTCTACTTCATTATACTATGTATTAGTGCTATTATTGATTTTAATTTGAGGGGCACAATGACTTTAGTATCGTCATTAGATCAGACCTGTCAAAACCTGCAAGAGTATCCTTGTCCAACCGTAAAAGATACTCTTATTTAAAAAATTCTGAAAACCGTGATCTTATGATCGATGGTCCTAGATAGTGGTAAATGAGCTTTTCCCTCTTTAAAGGTATGTTATTAGATCTTTTTAGAGAGATTTAACAATAGTTAGTTGAAGTCTTAACCCTTTAGATTTGACACTTATGTTGATAAGGTTTTGAAAGAGTTCATGAAATTATAGATGGGACAACAATGAAGGGCTTTATATAAATTGGCAAGAGGTTGCTTTAGCAAAGTACTTTAATAAAGCGCTTAAAAGTGTATAGATAGAGACGACATCAAATATCTATGAATGTTCAAGGCTACTTTAATTTGTAAGAGTATTCAATGACCTTTGAAATGGTCAAGAGATGATGTTTAGTGGACTAGTGATATGCTCCCTCCCATTTTTATTAAACTTCACTCTTTGACTTCACACAAAATAAGGAAAGAAATTTGACTTTACTGTAGAGTACACTGTTGAG